AACCTTGAATATTTATAGATATGTTAATATTAATATGTTTTAGCTTCTTTTGAACATCCTAGCTATAGGAAAATATAACTTAACTGTTATTTAAAAAAGGTTTTAGGTCAGCTCCAGTTGTTTAGCTTTAGCCGATTAGCTAGTGTTAAAGAGGCTAAAGCTAACAATCCCCTTATTGTTTTTATTACAACATACATTTATTTAAGCCTCTTAATTTATCTCTCAGCTAAAGTAGAATATATCTTAACAGTGATAAAAAAAAGAAAAGCGGCCCAGGTCAACGATTCAATCGGTTAGCTTGTCGATTAGCATCAAGCTAGGAGATGAAGTTCAAAGAAATGGACAGAAATGTTATATTTAAAAAAAATAAAAGCCCCCCTGCGGTCGATGTTGTGGTTTCATTAAGTCTTTCAGCACATTCATATAGAAACAAACAGTGTCCGCCACCACATTAAAAACCCAACATACTATAATACAAACTGGCTGTAAGGCTTAGTACAACACAGAGTTACATAACGTTATAAATCCCTGAAGATATGATGTAAAGTGGTTCAAACACGGAGAGTAAAAACATTTCTCATTAATACCAGAACATGTAATATGTTCATATTTCAGCACTAACACATTGTGAAGATGTTCAAGTATAATATTCATGATGTAGTGTAAAGACACTAAAGGAAATAAGTCCGATTTTAGGGTTTTAAACGGCTCATTAGAACAAAAAGGTGATTTTCATAACTCAAAGTGGGTCAAAATGTTATTTTTTGTACCAAGTACTGAACTGTAACGACCAAATAACAAGACATATTTAAAGCCAACTTTTATGGATTATATATAAACCATTTAAAGTGCAAACATTTCAGGAATAATGCTGTTGTTAGTCTCAAAGATGGTGATTTCCTACTATCCTTTGCTTTTTGAATCATACTAAAGGGAATATTTAAGTTTAAAGTTAAGTTTGGGAGAGATCTTTAACTCAAAGAGGGACATACAGTCCTTTTTCATACCATGATTTATTGCATCAATGGCTAGTAATAATTTTCTGATAATACATTTATCATTTTAAGAAACTTTTCATGCAAACCTTTCAGAAATATTTTGTTTCTTAATCTCAAATTTGCCAATTTCCTTCTATTCTTTACATTTTATCGTCGTAAGTGAATATTTATTTTAAAAGTTACGTTTTTGAGAGATACTTAAAGGTGGGGTAGGTAATTTTGGAGAAACCAGCTCGAGTGCGCTAGAATTTGAAAATACACAGCCGGAAACAATCTGCCCCTTCCTTCAGACTTCCTCACAGAGCCCCTCCTCCAACACACACGAACGTGCACATGACCAATGAGGCCACGAGATAAGTTTGTGCACAGATGGAAGGCTGACAGGCAGGTAGGCCATCCAGTTATTTTAGCCGGGCCGGCTCAAATGATTGGTCGTGCTTTTTACAGTACGGCTTCCACAGATGATGTTTTTTTATGGATTTTTTATCAAAGAATTTAAGATATTCATTGCTATCGGGATGTTAAGAGCATTCCATGCAATATAACAAAAAGTGTATCTCGATCCGGTTTCTCAAACCTACATACCCTACCTTTAACTCAAAAAGGGTCATAAGTACCAGTAACTCTTTTTTTAACCGTCAAAAGTCATTCATTACCAAGAAAATCCATATATAATTAAAACCATTTTTAAAAAACTATAAAAAATGATTGTGCAGCATTCATTTTGATTTACAATTAGAAATGTCAACATAATGGATGTAGATTCAAAATATCTGTTACAGCCCATAGACTGTATCTATGGTACAGCCGTATTATACGCGGTGATTAAGACATGACTGTTTGAAGGAAATGTAATTCACATTTAATTTATCAAGGGAGAACTCGCCTCAATATCCTTACGCCTTCTGGACAATATTTGTTAATATGCAGGACATTATTCCAGAGATAAATACTGGACATAATTGAGGATTTATCAATTAATTAGCACTAAAAATGTACCTTATTGTTTCCTGTTTTGTGGGAACTTGTTTAAGAAGTCATTGGTGACAAAAAAACAGCGATTTAACGTCACCGGATTATTTAAAAACTGGTTAATTAACAGTATGACAGTCCCAGTGTGTGTGTGTGTGTGTGTGTGTGTGTGTGTGTGTGTGTGTGTGTGTGTGTGTGTGTGTGTGTGTGTGTGTGTGTGTGTGTGTGTGTGTGTGTGTGTGTGTGTGTGTGTGTGTGTGTGTGTGTGTGTGTGTGTGTGTGTGTGTGTGTGTGTGTGTGTGTGTGTGTGTGTGTGTGTGTGTGTGTGTGTGTGTGTGTGTGTGTGTGTGTGTGTGTGTGTGTGTGTGTGTGTGTGTGTGTGTGTGTGTGTGTGTGGTGTGTGTGTGTGTGTGTGTGTGTGTGTGTGTGTGTGTGTGTGTGTGTGTGGGTGTGTGTGTGTGTGTGTGTTGTGTGTGTGTGTGGTGTGTGTGTGTGGTGTGTGTGTGGTGTGTTGTGTGTGGTGTGTGTGTGTGTGTGTGTGTGTGTGGTGTGTGTGTGTGTGTGTGTGTGTGGCGGCAGCCTGGTGAAGGTGTTACTACGCCTCCGGTTTGATGGCTGTTGCCGCGGAAACGATTTTCGTGTGCTGGTTAAAGATGGCGTCAAAGGCCTCGTCTCTGTGGATCATCGCGCCGAACACCATCGGCTGCAACAAGACAGGAAGTGAGGTACATTCAGATACTAATACTTTACATAACATGTAATCTATCAATTAAATGTATTTATACATTATACCTGGAGGGAGCACAGGGATTGAACCCTAACCCAAGGGAAAGACCCCAGAAAGGTGTGCGTAGCCTACTCATAATGCGCAGGGCTTGAGTAATTTTTACTGTTGGGACTCGGGTTTGAGTCCAGCATGAACTTTTTTGTTATTTTCATGTCGATGGACACTGCATACAGGGGCGCCGTAAGGGGGTGAAAAGTTAAGACGATTCTAAGGGCCCGTGACTGACAGGGGCCCCAACATGTTCAGAACATTAAGAAAAAAAATGTAAGTAACCTTTCATCAATCCTCAATAATTAACATTAATATAGCGTTATATTGATAAATTACTCACTAAACTTACGATTCATTTAACTTATTTTCTTCCAAAAGTTAATTACCCAAAGCCAATGTACACCCCCTTCTATTTACGTGTAATGGTTTGGTCCTGCCTCCAAACGCGGTGCTGCACCGGCACTTGCAGAGAGTGAAAGCATGTGAGGAGGGATGCTAGTACCTAGCCTACATACGTGTGTTGTAACATGTTTCAACGACCAACAAAGTCAGGCTCTAAGAAAAGAAGAGAAAGAAAAGAAGACAAGAGAGAGGGACTAAAGGGCGACAATATGTCACCAAGTTTTTCAAGAGAAAAGGTGGGTGTGGTCCATGAGTGGTGGAAATGAGTCTGTTAGCTAATGTTTTTTTGTTTACTAAGCTGACATTAAGTACTGTTAATATCTTTACAGAAAATTCAGAGGTCTTTAATTTCACTGCTCTTTTAGCTGACATTTAAAGGTATGGTAGGTAATACACTTCAGATACACTTGTTGTTATATTCCATGGAATGCTCTTAACATCCGATAGCAATGAATACATTAAATGCTTTGACAATAAATACGTACAAAAATATCATCTGTGGAAGCCGTGGCGCTGTAAAAAGCACGACCAATCATCTGAGCCGGCCCGGCTAAAGTAACTGGATGGCCTACCTGCCTGTCAGCCTTCCATCTGTGCACACACTTATCTCGTGCCCTCATTGGTCATGTGTGCGTTCGTGTGTGTTGGAGGAGGGGCTCTGTAAGGAACTCTGAAGGAAGGGGCAGAATTTTTTCGGTTGTGTACTTTCAAATTCTGGCGCACTCGAGCTGGTTTCTCCATTCTTACCTACCCTTTAATAAATGCAGGCACATTTTTAGCGCCTATTCATACTAAATCAGTTGTCCCTCCCCCTGGTGCCAGGTCCAACAGATCCATCTTTAGGCTCAGCAGCCCTGTCCCCCATAAGGCTGAACCTAAACCAGCTTTTCTCCAAACTGAAGGAGGTGAGCAGCATGGTGTTGAATGCCACTTAACATATCTGAAGGGAGACTGGAATACAAAAAATATATATATAACAAAAAGCTAACATCTAATTTAAATTATACATTTCAAACACAGTATTTCCCCACATAGCCAATGATCTATATAAAACAAAAAACTGCTTTTAGTCTATTTAGGATGATGGACAGTTTGAAGCATTGAGTGATCAGTCTGTAAACAAAATGTTAATCACCGACATTTTGGCTATGATATTAATACTAATGTTATTATATTAAAGCAGGGGTGGGGAACCTCCGGCCCCCGGGCCATATATACGGACTGCTAGACCATTTGGTACGGCCCTCGAGGTAATTTATAAACAAAGTGGCCTGTGCCTGGTGGTGGGGCCCAATGTGATATATTTTCAGGGGGCCCAAAATCCCTGGCGGCGCCCCTGACTGCATAGTATGTAGTTTGAATAGAGGATTCCTAATATTGTTTGCCGAGACCAACATTAATGACCCATCAGCATTTAAGTCTAAGTATCCCTGCACATGCAGCAATGACATTTCTGCTGCTATCTTTGCAAAACGAGTTAACAGTCACATCTTATCTGGATGAGTGCTGCAGAATACCGCTTTGATAAGGGATACATGTGTGTGTAGTCTTTCATATTAAAGATGATCGCTGGTAGATAGCCACAGAAGTCGTAACACAGTTTAACCTGGGTGGATCGCCGTTTACCTGAACGGGTCAGTTTAACACAGATGAAGACTTCTCCACGCTGCTTTCAAACTGTGAGTAAACAACGTGTGCTTCACTTGGAGGCTGTCTGAAGGTATACACATGTCTCAGATGGACTTGGTATCACATTAAGAATGATATTCAGTAATAAGTCTGGCAACAATAGCTGGTTTAAATGATTTATTGGAGTTTGCAATGTTTTGAACAGACATCCCCATGTCAACTCGTTTTTCTTTTTGTAGTCCTCGCTGTTCACGTCCGGATATCGCCATCGTAACCACAACCTCACACACTGGTACTGAATGTGCATCAAAGTCTTCCTACCGAGCCAAATACACCAAAAGATTTATGTAAACGACAGAAGAAGCGATCGCAATGTGTATTTCAGTCGAAGGCCACGCCTCCACATCTGTGCCCGTTGATCGGGAAACCAGTTAATCCGGAACACCGGCAGCACTGCAGAGACTGAAGGAGGAAAGGAACACATCATTATTATTGTTATTATTATATTTAAGTTCCTAGGATACATTTTGATATATTGCAACATAAATATACATTTGTTTAACTACATATCAAAGAATACAACTGAACAGAATCAACATCAGTTCCTCTGACACACGTTAAAGCTGTAGTTTGTCCAAAAGCCCCTAAAACTACAGGTGAATAAAAATGAATCTGACTGTAATAGAAACTAAAGACTGACCTGAATGCGAGTCAACAATCACGTGACCCATTTTCAAACAGTCTGTTCAGGGAGGAGGAAGTGTTTCACCAGCTGCTCTTAAACAGGGACCATAACACAGCGTTGTGAAATATAGCTATGAATCTCCAGATGTGTAAAGAGATGTTCTTTATGTATTGAGAAAATATTCCTACTTATACTCAATACACTATTTGAAAAGCCTCTTGGATCAGCTGTAAAATGCATCGTCACAAAGTTAAATAACAAGCCTCAACAGTTCTTCCTCCACTCCCTCTTGGCAAACTGCCACTGGGAGGTTGAACCACATTGTAAGAGAAGAGTTTCAATTTCCCGGAAATGAAAGCTGTTGTTTGTCTGAGCGACAGCAGAGCAGCAGCCGAGACACGTCTCTGTTTCTCTGAAGAAACACTCAACTGAATCCAGCAGCTTTTTCTCAACAACACAGCAGGACTCTGCAAACACTGGTGAGATCACTACAGACACATCACTTACTAAACATTTAGTAAAAGTTGGATTAAAATCTGAATCTGACTGTATTACATCCATTTGACCATATAAAGAATATTACACAACATAAATGTATAAAAGTTAAGATAAAAACCTCAACATTTACACATTAGCCACAAATGTATAATGTAAACTCTGGTTAAGTTAGGTTAGAGAGCATACAGTCAAAGCTAGCATTAGCTTATACTTATTTTCATATTTCCTGTATTTGAAAACATCTTTATAATTGACTTTATTAAACAAAGTAGTATCTAAATAGTAGATTTGTTCTGGACCGTCCAAAGCAAGGGATCTGGTGTTATGTTACAAGTGTTGCTTATAAAAGGCATGACAATTACATATTTCATCTTATATCATTTGTACACACTGTGGTTAGTAGCCTTGAGCTTTGAACCTGTTTCTGTAGTAACTGCTGTCTGCCTTTTGAAGCTGATAACGTTTACTGTTTTTTAACAACTAGTATTAACTTCAGTGATGCTCAGCAGGAGGTTTCACTCCTCTGTTCAACAATGGCAAAATCCCCCAACAGTATTAGAGCTTACACATTGTGTTTCTTAGAGTTTAATCTGAATGCTGCTATGATTTTCCAGATTTCAATTGAACTTGAATTTAAATTCTTACAGACAAAAAACCTAAATGTTTTTGGTTGTTTTGGTCTATGTATGTCATTTCTAACATAAAAACGTTGGGGTAGTTTACATTTCCGGGTTCATAGTAGAACTCTATGAACTGTCAAATAGAGAATATGTAATTACTAGGAATGTAACGATATATCGAATATCGCGATATTGCGGTAAATAAAAGTCTCAATACCGTCGTGAGACTGACAAAATCTACCAGACCTTTATTTAACCAGGTGGTCCCATTGAGATCATCGATCTCTTTTTCAAGGGAGACCTGTCCAACATGGCAGCAAGTAGGTTACAACATGAACATAAAACAACAGATAACACAAAAGGACATCATATTTACAGGGCTACATGTACACACCTAGAGACATTGACAAGTACCAACAGTATATTTATATCTCGCCCTGTCAATAAGCCTCACCTTCTTGGCAAACACTGTATTGTTTTTGAAGTGGTGGAAAGACAAGGCACAGTTTGACCCACTGCTGTCACCCATGGCCAAAGCATATCTCTCTGTCCCAGCAACATCAGTACCAAGCAAGAGAGTTGTTTCCACAGCAGGGGATTTTGTAAACGCCCAAACATCCCAGCTTCTACCTGGAAATGTGGACATGCTCATATTCCTAAAAGATAACCTTGATGACGCTGAGTGAGTGAGTTAGAGTTGAGTTACTTGAAAAACTAAAGTGAAACTTGATTTATTCTATTGCACGGTCTGATTATTATAATGTTGACACTTTAAAATACTACTATCCTATAAATGCCGTACAAATCAGATTTATTATTTAATAAAGAAAAAAGAAAAAAAAGATTCACATTTATTTTCTTTCTTTTTCAATATCGCGATAAATATCGTACCGTGGACTTTTTATCGCGATATTATCGTACCGTGAGTTTTTGGTATCGTTACATCCCTAGTAATTACAGTTGTGTTTTTTTCAAACTTTGGTCCCCAGAGAGACATGTCTGCTGCCAGCTGTCTGCTGACTGAAGATCAGTTTCTGTGCTCCATCTGTCTGGATGTGTTCACTGATCCAGTCACCATACCATGTGGACACAACTTCTGTAAAGCCTGCATCTCTGAACACTGGGATAGAAATGTCCCGAGTCAGTGTCCCAACTGCAAAGACGTTTTTAACATAAAGCCTGAGCTGCGGGTCAACACGTTCATCTCTGAGATGGCTGCTCAGTTCAGACAGTCAGCTCAACAGAAAGCCAGAAGCAGCAGCTCAGAGCAACACGTTGTCAAACCAGAAGAAGTTCCCTGTGACGTCTGCACTGGAACCAGACTGAAGGCCCTGAAGTCCTGCCTGGTGTGTCTGGCCTCCTACTGTGAGACTCACCTGGAGCCTCATCTGAAAAATGCAGGTTTCAAAAGACATCAGCTGATCGACCCTGAGGAGAACCTGGAAAGCAGGATGTGTGTGAAGCACGATAAACTGCTGGAGCTGTTCTGTCAGACTGACCAGGTGTGTGTCTGCATGCTCTGCTCCTTTTCAGACCACAAGACACATGATGTTGTTCCTCTGAAAGAAGGATATGAAGGAAAGAAGGCTGAGCTGGGGAAGACAGAGGCTGAAATTCAGCAGATGATCCAGAAGAGACGACTGAAGATTCAGGAGATGAATCGCTCAGTAGAGCTCAGTAAGGAAGGAGCAGACAGAGAGATAGCAGATGGTGTTCAGGTCTTCACCGCTCTGAAGGAGTCTGTTGAGAGAAGCCAGGCCGAGCTCATCGACACCATCAAAGAGAAGCAGAGAGAGACAGAGGTACAGGCTGAAGGCTTCATCAAAGAGCTGGAACAGGAAATCTCTGAGCTGAAGAAGAGAAGCTCTGAGGTGGAGCAGCTCTCACGCTCTGAAGACCAGCTCCACCTCCTCCAAAGCTTCACGTCCCTGAACGCTGCTCCACCCACCAAGAACTGGACAGAAGTCAGGGTCCGTCCTTCATATGAGGGGACTGTGGTGAGAGCTGTGACTCAGCTGGAGGAGACGCTCAGTAAACAGATGAAGAAGCTGCTCTCTGAGGTGGAGTTGAAGAGGGTCCAGCAGTATGAGAAGGAGGTGACTCTTGATCCTGATACAGCACATCCCAAACTCATTCTGTCTCATGATGGAAAACAAGTTAAATTTGGTGATGTGTGGAAGAATCTCCCAAACAATCCAGAGAGATTTGATTATTGTGCTCGTGTTTTAGCAAAGCAGAGTTTCTCTTCAGGAACATTTTATTACGAGGTTCAGGTTAAAGGGAAGACTATGTGGGTTCTAGGAGTGGCCAGAGAGTCGATCAACAGGAAGGGAAACATCACAGCGTCTCCTCAGAATGGTTACTGGGTGATATGGCTGATTAAAAATGAGTACAAAGCTCTTGCTGGTCCTCCAGTCTGTCTCTCTCTGAAGTCTCAGCCTGAGAAGGTGGGGGTGTTTGTGGATTATGAGGAGGGTGTGGTCTCCTTTTATGATGTTGATGCTGCAGCTCTGATCTACTCCTTCACTGGCTGCTGCTTCAAAGAGAAACTCTACCCTCATGTTGGTCCCGGTAATGATGATGGTGGTAAAAACTATGCCCCTCTGATCATCTCTCCTGTCAATCACACTGAGTAGAACAACCATTTGATTTTCTTCAGAAAGATTCACTCTCACTCATTTCAAACCTTTATTTATCCAGGTGAATCCCATTGAGATCATTGATCTCTTTTTCAAGGGAGACCTGCTCAAGTAGGTTCCACATGAAACATAAAAACAAACAGAACAACAAAAAGGACATCTTACAGAATCATTACAGGGATTACAATTTACAATAACTATCCACATGAGCAGGTACCAACAGCTTCCGATTGAGTAGCATCCAACCGAGCTTTAAAAACATTTAGTGGCACCAGATTGCTCATTTTCCATTTCAATTGCAGACTATTCCAAGACAGAGGAGCTGCGCATCTAAAAGCTGTCTTCCCTAAGACAGTCCTAGCAGTTGGCACATTTAATAAAACCACAGCATTCGATCTCAGGCAGTAGCCACTTACAATTTGCCGTGAGATCAGGGAGCAGATGTAGGATGGAAGTTTCCCTAACATGGCTTTATATATAAAAATGTACCAGTGACTGAGCCTCCGTACAGTTAGTGAAGGTAAACCAGCCCTTGCATACAGGGTACAGTGATGGGTTAATGCTTTACAGTTTGTCACAAATCTCAGTGCGCTGTGATACGCAGCATCTAACTTGACCAGGCCATTGCCATGGCAGGTGCATTCATATAGATCAGATCCCCATAGTCCAGCACAGGTAAAAAGGTCACAGTGACTAGCCTTTTCCTGGCCTCAAGCGAGAAACAGGACTTACACTAAATGTAATAAATGTATTCAACTCATGAAGAACATTGTACACATTGTTAATGGTTCAGAATCTGATCACATATGGTTCACCTTGATGAGACGCATGACAACACATAAAATACTGATGAGTATGTTCTAATGTACTCTAGTTTATTCTACGGATTGCACTCCCTGCCGTCATGACTTGAAGTGATCAGAAAATTATATACTCAAAAAAAACGTTTGCCACTTCTTTATATGCAGTGGCGGTTCTAGACCAATTTGACTGGGGGGGCTACTGGGGGTCCAGTTATTTTCTGGGGGGGCACAATAAATGCAGGACGAAAAAGAGAACTAGACAGTATGAAGTAATTGCGCATAAGAAAACAATGCAATACAGTTATTGGTATTTGTTTCAGTACACTTATTTATTTCAGATAGATCTTATAGTTATTACTGTTAGCTTCAGCTTAAGTTATAGTGCAATGTTTGCACTAACACCATATTTATATAAAAATAAAGGCAATGAACAGTTACATCTCTACTTTACATAAGGGTGTCTGCACAATCTCACATTACAGCAACAAAATCCTGCGGTATTTGGCAAACCGAGTACCAGAAAATATACATTTAAAAAAAAATAAAAAAAATAAACTTTTTATTGTTAGGGGGGCCACAGGGGGGTGTGTTTTTTCCCCTGTCGTTAGTTTCCCTGGTGTGTCTAGTTGTCTGATTGTGTTCACCTGTGGCCCTTGTGTTTCTCCTCCCCTGCCCGGCTGTTTCTCGTCTCGTGATTACCCCTCCCTGTATTTAGTCTAGTCTCTTCCTGTGTTCAGTGTTGGTTCGTCTTTTGTTTGTGACTGTGTTCACCGGTGAGTGTTCTGTTTTGTCCAAGTTATTTTTATTTATCCTTGAAATAAAGGCATTTTCAGCGTTATCTGCATTTGGGTCCTGCTTCCTTCACTCAACCGTAACAGTACGAACCAACCAAATATGGGCCCAGTAGATCCTTTTGAGCAGGAATTATTGGATTTTTCCTTTTTTTTACTAACTGCTCTGATCGATGGAGGGGAGCGTCCGGGGTTCAGCAGCGAGAGGCAGCTCTGGCAGAGGCGCGCCAGATGGCTATGGAGAAGCCAGGCTTGGTGAAATTCTTACCTGGCTGGATTTTGGATTTCCTCTCTGTGTGTTATCCCCTGCCTGCTAGCCCCAGCCATGCTGGCTCCCTGCCTCCCAATTCCCATTATGACACCACACGCATCGGTGTGATCCGTCTGGAGTAGTGTTAATTTCGTCAGCTATTTTTTAATTTAGTTTTAGTCTTAGTCCTGTGTTAAATTTTCTTTTAAGTTTTAGTCATATTTAGTCACCTTCATCCTGTTTTTATTTAGACAAGTTTTAGTCGACTAAAAGTCTGAGCATTTTAGTCTTATTTTAGTCAAAGAAAACGGTTGAGTCTTTTTTAGTCATCAGATTATATAGAACATTTCAGTCAAACTAGTCTAGCCAAAACCAATAATTTGTCATTTTAGTCAAACGTATTTCACAATAAGATTATATCTTGTCCTTATTTGATGAAAAACACAGGTTGATTAGAAAGCAGCTTTGCAGAGAGTATTATGGTCAGGTTTGTGGTGTTTTACTCTGTTATGGCCACATTGCTTCCCTTCTGATAAAACAATGCATTCGCTTTTTTTCTCCGCCTCATTGTAGCGAAAATGGGCCCAAATATCACATTGTTTCTTTCTCCCAAGCAGTGGTGGCTTTAGACTTTTTCGTTGTCAGTAATTTTGATGGACAGGATCGTAACATTTCCGTCATAATCCATTATTATCCATCGAGTGCATAATTTATGAATCACTCGCGCTGACGGGGGGGGTATTCGGTAAACGCGAGTGCGACCACTGCTCCCAAGCCCTGTTGTTGCCATTTTATTTTCTGTTAAATAAGGTTAGTTAGACCATGAGTTAGACCCGAGTCTTCCTGACAGTTCATATTGTGCCGCTGCCCGGTGTAATTCAAATCTACCGCCGCGCGCAGCACAGACACACAGCTGCTGCCCAGCCGCAGCACCGGAAATGGAACTGCTGGGAGAAAAACTGACTATCAGAGATGTAACGTTATCTTTGGTAATATTTCGTCTCTTCATTTTTCGTCAACGAAAGTAAAGAGAGATTTTGGCATAGTTTTTATTTAGTAAACTACATTTTTGTCTCGTTACTTTTCGTCAACGATATTGCATGATGATTTCGTTACAGTTATTGTTTACTGCCGTCGGTACCGTCTCGTCATCATCTCGTTTTCATCTTGGAAAAAAAGGTCGTTGACGAACATATTTCATCAACGAAATTAACACTAGTCTGGAGTCAACCCTTGCTTCTGCCCCAGTTCCTGCTCCTGTCCAAGAGCCGTTCTCTGGAACTCGTCTGGCTTTTGGAGGTCCATGGAGCCTCCAAAAGGCTCCTAAGAGAATGAGTTGCAGGTCCAGGCTAGCAGCCCTAGCCACAGAAGCCATGCTTTGGGCTCCAGTACAGGCCCCAGCAGCCATGGTTCCAGCCCCAGTTCTGGCCCCAGCAGCCATGGTTCCGGCCCCAGCAGCCATGGTTCCAGCCCCAGTTCTGGCCCCAGCAGCCATGTGTCCGGCCCCAGTTCTGGCCCCACCAGCCCTGGTTCCAGCCCCAGTTCTGGCCCCAGCAGCCATGGTTCCGGCCCCAGCAGCCATGGTTCCAGCCTCAGTCCTGGCTCCAGCAGCCATGGTTTCGACTCCAGCCCCACGTCTCCGGCCGACGCCAGCTCCCCGTGTCCTGTCGGCATACCGGCCGACGCCAGCCCCCCGTGTTCTGTTGGCGAACCAATCTACTCAAGACTCCTCCCAAGTTCCTTCTCAAGTCTCCTCTCAAGTTCCTTCTCAAGTCTCCTCTCAAGTCTCCTCTCAAGTTCCTTCTCAAGTCCCCTCTCAAGTTCCTTCTCAAGCCACATCTCCAGCTCCCTCTCGAGTCCCCTCTCAAGTTCCTTCTCAAGTCCCCTCTCAAGCCACATCTCCAGCTCCCTCTCGAGTCCCCTCTCAAGTTCCCTCTCGAGTCTCCTTTCAAGTCACCTCTCGAGTCTCCTTTCAAGTCACCTCTCGAGTCTCCTCAAGTTCCCCCTCGAGTCACCTCTCGAGTTCCCTCTCAAGTCTCCTCTCGAGTTACCTCTCAAGCCTCCTTTCAAGTTATCTCTCGAGTCCACTCTCAAGTCACCTCTCGAGTTCCCTCTCAAGTCACCCCTCCAGCTCCCTCTGGAGTCACCTCTCGAGTTCCATCTCAAGTCCCTCCTCTAGTCACTTCCGTAGTCCCATCTCCAGTCACTTCTCTAGTCACTTCTCTGGTCCCTTCCAGAGTCCCTTCTCTAGTCCCTTCTCAAGTCCCTCCTCTAGTCACTTCCCTAGCCCCTTCTCTAGTCCCACCTTTAGTCACTTCTCAAGTCCCTACTCTAGTCCCATCTCGAGTTCCCTCTAGAGTCCCCTCTCCTAGTCTCTCGTCTAGTTCCCCTTTTGAGTCTCCTCTCTAGTTCCCCCTTGGTTCCCCTCTCGAGTCTACTCTCAAGTCCCATCTCGAGTCACGTCTCAAGTCCCTACCCAATGTCCTGGTCCGTTGGAAGTTCCGCTGGGGGTCCTGCCAACTCCATGTCCTGTCCCGTTGGAGGCCCCGCCGACTACTCCTCTGTCGGGGGTCCTGCCAACTCTATGTCATGTGCCGTTGGAGGTCCCGCCGACTACTCTCCTGCCGGGGGTCCTGCCAACCCTATGTCCTGTGCCGTTGGAGGTTCCGCTGGGGGTCCTGCCAACCCTATGTCCTGTCCCGTTGGGGGTCCTGTCGACTACTCTTCTGCCGTGGGTCCTGCCAACCCTATGTCCTGTGCCGTTGGAGGTTCCGCTGGGGGTCCTGCCAGCTCCATGTCTTGTCCCGTTGGGGGTCCCGCCGATTACTCTTCTGCCGGGGGTCCTGCCAGCTCCATGTCCAGTCCTGTTGGAGGTCCCGCCGACAACTATTCTGCCGGGGGTTCTGCCAACCCTATGTCCTATCCCGTTGGGGGTCCTGCCGACTAATCTCCTGCCGGGGGGCCTGCCAACCCTATGTCCTGTGCCGTTGGAGTTTCCGCTGGGGGTCCTGCCAGCTCCATGTCCAGTCCCGTTGGAGGTCCCGCCGACTACTCTCCTGCCGAGGGTCCTGCCAATCCTATGTCCTGTTCCTCTGGGGGTCCCACCGACAACTATTCTGCCAGAGGTCCTGCCAACCCCTTGTCCTGTTCCGTTGGAGGCCCCGCCATCACCTGTCTCGCCGATGGTCCTGCCAACTCCTGGTCCTCTTCCGTGGGGGATCCTGCCGAAGCCTGTCCCACCGGCTCCGGTTCCTGTTCGGCCGACACCGGGTCCTGCCCGGCCTCCGGAGCTGTCTGGTTTCGCCCTCGAGCCCGGCCCCCTGAGAGCCGCGGTCTTCGCCCTCGAGCCCGGCCCCCTGAGTGCCGCAGTCTTCGTCCTCGGGCCCGGCCCCCTTACTCTTCCTGCCGCGGTCCTCGCCCTCGGGCC